GACCACGTTCTTGTTAACAGTAATAAGCACCAAAGTGGCTGAGTGCTGCTTTGAGTGAAGACACACGAAGGGAGGGAAATGTAATGACTGTCCACACTGTGAAGTGAAAAGGCTGTCTTAATGGACTAAAATCAACTTATGAGGATAAAATGACTTGACTAACATATAGTTGAGATTAACTTGTCTGATTCAGCCAACAGCTTGCTTAAAGTATCATATTATTACCATATCACTAAGATCTACATCGTAAAGGGTTCCCTGAGTCTGATAGCTCTGGTAGCACTCATGCCTGTAAAACCTAATTTTACTCCTGGGTAGGTACTTAGTCTAATTTATTTCACTACCTTATGCTTATTGCAGAGAATATAGTTGGACATAACATTTGTTCTCAAAGTATTTTGAAATGAAAAAAATCCTCTAAGCTACCAGAATGTCCTCACAAGGAGAGTGGCCAGTTTGGAGAATTGTTTTAACAAAACTGGGTCTGAAATCACACCAAGATTTTCTCTATCCTAATATTTATGGATTGCATAACTTACAGTGTCAGCTGCTGGATGGCACAATATACTTGCAGTCACAACAAACGTTCATACAAACACTATATATTAATCACGAAGGAATAAATCGTGATAATGATTTTATTATGGTTAATGGAGCCACAGAGCTCAACATGGAGGTACAGTGTGTCTGCAAAGAGAGTTTTGGGTTTTTTAACTTAGTAAGACAGTTAAGTTGGAAGGAATACTAGTAGGAAATAAACTTTAATACTTGAGATATGATTGAAATAAAAATATTTTAAATCTAATGTAGGATTAAAACAACAGATGGGTGTTCTCCAGTCTTTATTTTGTACTTCTTTTGCTAACATACAAAAATGTCACTGTCTTTATATTTCCAAAGATATTTTTCTGATTGTATTACTACTTCATTGTGTCTTCTAGCAAGTAACATCACTGGCAGCCAATGTGTGTATGTATATGAACAATTTTTTTCCAATATTTTTACTTAAAAGTTTTGATAGGGTGAAGCATAAATGTAGCAAGCTTCTCTGTTCTGTATGCCAAGAACTTCCTTTCTGAGGAAAGTTGGAACACTCATTTTCCAAGAATTCTGTGGAGAGACAGAACTTTTTTCATGACTCGAATTTTTTGAGAGTGAATTGGATGCAGCCAAGGAGCAGACTTTCAAAAAAAGCCTGATCTCTTAGCAAACATAGGAGATACTGGAAACTTTGTGTATCCTCGAGGATGGGCAAATAAGTCGAGACAACAAATCTATATTGACTGCATTGACTGTACTTGCAATGCATTTTACACGACTTCTTGTACTGTGTATAAAGTACAAATATTAGAAGTGCTGAGACCCTTGTAACCAGGACTGGAACTTGTAGAATTGCTGTGGCAGTGAGGCCCAGTGCAGTGGATGTTCTGAAGCAGCTCGTGTGTGGAATGTTTTATGCAAAGGTAAAACACATGATTAAGAGAGAAGTGCAGTAACAGGTCAGCAAAACTGAACAAAGAACTCTTGCCTGGTCTGAAAATAAAGACATTGAATAAGAAGCAGTAGTACATTTGAGAAGTAACAGAGATGAACATGCATGGGGCAACAGACCCTGGAAATATTAAGACATAGGAATGGCAGATAATAGGAAATAGGCTCATGTATTCAATGCATTTTTTGATTCTTCATGTGGGCTAATTATGAGAGATTGTTTATTCATTTTATTTAACAGGGAAAAAGCTGACCAGAAGTGGAAAGAACCATTTTGGTTGGTTGGTTGTTTTGATACAGTATCAGCATGCAGGTGATAACAAGGGGGTAAGAAACAGGCAAGACTGGCTTTGTATGACTTGCTCTAGACAAGCCAAGCCAGTCATCAGTGCAGCTGTTCCTGTGGATAGTCAAAACAATGGCTGCTACATCTGGAGTGTGCTGAGCTTTTGATATTGTCCACTGGGACTTTCTCATGGAAACTTGAACTCCAGGAAGGTGCCACAACATTACATTCAGAGTCTTATCGATAAAGTAATTTCCACACTACTGCAAACTTTGCTAAATATTCCCCTGTTCCTGACTCCAAGCAATCAGGCTGCTTTACTCAGAGAATAAATATCAGAGGATGTAACTATGAATGCTGCTTTGTTGTTACCGATTTGGAGTGATTTTTCTTCCCTACTACCACAGTCTTTGAAAATTTATTCTCCTTAGTCTACTTTCAAATCCTGAAATAAAAGGGGCAAAAGGAGAGGCTGCCAGCTGATTCTCCTGTGGTGCACAGTATTCTTTGGTGTGCTGAACATGTCTGAAAAGCTGACCTACTATTTTAGAACTTACTTTTTTTAGTAGACTTTCCTCTCCAAAATCTTATGTCAATGATGACAAAGCAACAGAGTAAATAAGTAGGTACTTGACGAGCCAGAAAGTTCAGCTACTGACCTGTCTGCTAGGGATGATTTTACATTTCCCAGCATGCATCCATTTTGAAAGTTATTGAGTGGAATTTGGACTTCTAGGCCACTGCAGAATAATCACTGAACAGTTATTTGCTGAAGACAATCACTATTATTAAGGCCCTTACTCCACATCCTTTGAAGACACTGAAGGATTGGTATTGATTTTTGAGTAGCATTTGTAAGGGGCCTGTGCACTTTAGAGCAACTGGACCACATCATTAGACTATCTGAGGGATTTTCCATCAAATATATTTCTAAAGGTAATGCTAATAGAAGAACTTTTAACCTCTGAATCAGAAGATGGATGTATAAGATGGATGTAGTATATAAGTATATATAAGTATATGTAAGATCAGTATTTTAAAGGAGAGAGCTTCAAGAAAACAGCTGCTAAAAGGCCATTTGAGGTTATGGATCACAAGCTGATCCTTGATTTATGAAAGCAGCACAGTAACAGTTTTCTAATTAATTGATCTGATTGTTCTCAAGAGTGTTGGAGTGTTAATATTCACAGGAGTCAATGATTAGGAAAACCCGTTTCTTGGCATCAAAACAAAGTGGACCCTCAGAAAAGAAGAATGTAACAGCTGCTTGGCCACACTCATTGCACCTGTGGCAGCTGTGGCCACCCGAGTCCCCTGCCAGGGGACTGACTCTCCCAACCTTCTCCTCTGGCATGGTCCCTCTCCTGTCCTGGCAGTGTTTCAAACATCCCCAGCACTGCTCTGAGGCCCCTGGCTCTGATACCCACGGGCCCTGGGGCTGCAGGCAGGGTGGGGACCCAGCTCATGATGCGGCTGCAGCTGGGGCTGTGCGGGTGCCCCTCGCTCACCACGGCTCTGCACTGGCTGTTGGTGAACACGGCTGGATGTGCTGCAGAAACCCTGGGGTTTGCCAAGAGAATTTTGGGGTCAGGTCAGATTGAGCTAACTGAGATTTAGGTGAGATTACAGTAAATTCCACCTCTGGTTAGTTGAGCAGCAACAGCCCCTCAGCCAGAGCTGACACAATTTTTTAAAAGGATCAGATTTCCACACCCAAGTTACAAATAATACTTTAACAGGTTAACTTGGAAACAATGGTATCTATATCTGCCAAGCAAGGACTAAAGTTTATTTTCTGCAAGAAGCTAGAATTAAAATTTCTCTTTAAAAAAATTCTCTTTTTAGAAAATTATGCACTTCAGCTTTGTCTTTTGCCTTTGATTAGTTTTAATCTCAGGTTCTCATGTAAACTAATTTACGGTTTCTATAGATAGAACACAAACAAGAATGCTATTTTTTTTTTAAAGAAAATACATATTCCTAGGGTTTTACACTCAAAATCAAGGAAAAACATAAGGGAATTAGTCTTCAGTTTTAGGACTTTCTTACTGCAGCCTAGTAGTTATCTTAACCACCATGTTAGCTAGTAAGTTTACCCAAATACCAATCTGGTGTTATTATAATTGCAACTGACAAAATGCTTGTGAATAACTTCTCCAAATTTGTGAAATTTATTACCAAGTGAGAAATGTGAACTTGAGAAAGCCAAGTTTATCTTTATTATACTGGATATGCCCTTCCAAAGGACACAGAGTTTTCCCAGAAGTTTGGCTTTAAGAAATCAAAAAGCTTTCGAAAATATTTACTTAAAACACAAAACTTGCATGTGTTTTCCATGTAAATAAAGGATAATGGAGTGCAGAAGAAGCTTATTTAAACTATGCATACAAATATGCATGAGTGCCGATAGGATTCAATTTTCCTGCCTTAATTTGAATTAACTGATGGGTCTTTTGACACAAGCTGTACTAATTGTTGCTTATTTGGGTGCAGTATATCAGTGAACATGGCAATCAAAAGCTCATCCAGATGTTCATATTTTCTTTGATTGCCCACAGCCTTAGGTTTGAAGAAAAGTCAATCAGTAAAATTATTCTTCTCAGCATCTGTCAAGGTACTGATGCCATTACCATAGCAGCAGTCAGAAAAGCAGAATGGCTCTGATTCCCCTTTCACTTACCCTGGTACCAGCCTTCAGGAGCTTTCTGCACTCTTGGTTTGGTACCAGCACAAATCCTGGAAATTTTGTGAAATTAGATCACAGTAAAGAATGAATGTATTTTTGTCTTCATATGAATTTATATTCACGTGATTAACTTCTATAAAAGTATATTTTGTATGTTTTATACTGCTATATGTTTACAATTAAGTCATTGACTGATGGGATATTTTTTCCAAACATCATATAAAAGCTTTTAAGAAGTTGAAAAATGAAATGTAGTGCACCCCTGTGCAGGAAACCTGAGCCTACTGAAACAGGTTCTTTGGATTTGCCTTAAAACTTTTGGACTCCTGTAAGATGCATCAAGTTTTATATTTACTACACAAACTATTTTTTTCAATTCTATTGTGTTTTCCTGAAAGCATACAGATAGAATTCATTTGTGTGTATTTTTTTTTTCCAGATATTATGAAAGCATCTGACACAAAGAGTTTGCATCGATTTTCTTGTGAGACAGAATACAGCTCATAACTCTTACCCTTTCTCTCCTTTTATCCCCAGGTGTCTGAAATGTGTCCATGCATTTCCTGCATAACTGGATCCTACCTCATTAAGGGTAAGACCTTTTTTTGCAATCCCAGTATGAACAGCGGTTACCAAGGGGGAGTGCGTGGTTTGCACCTGTGTTAACTTAAGAATTACCTGGAATAACAGTCTGGAGTTCTCCTCTTCTCAGGAATGTTTTCCCTTACAGTCCTCACCTGGCTGCCTGGCAGCTGAATACTGTGAGCAAAAATTATAATGGCATTTTTTCTGATACCCTCAGCCTAAGGCAATTCACAGCCAAGGAGAACTGAGGGGGAGAGAGCCCAGCCTAGACCAGAGCTGATAATTTGCTGCTTGTCTGTGTGTAGGATCAGTGCAGGTCTCTTAATTTGTTGTACATGTTGCGTAGAAACATCCTGAAACTGGGAAAGTAGAAGAATCCTTGCCATGGTCCTTAAAGGTGATGGACTGGGGTCAAGAAGATTTCTTATTTTCAGCTGTTTATGTTTGAAGTTGGCTGAAATGTCCTTCATGTTTCATCAAGGGCAAAAGCAGACCTGTGGGCAGTAACAGCACTGTGTGCTGCTGGTCCCCATTGAGTAACAAAGTATGTACTTCTCTTTTACACCTTCTAATGTATGTCATGTCAAAAAGATGAATTTAACCTGTCAGATGAAGATAATAAGGGAAAGATTCTGGAAATGTTATTATGGGTGATGAGCTCCAGCTGCAATTAATTCAGGAATGAGATTACTGAAGGGTGCTCCCAGACTCAACCACAAAACCCTGAATGTGGCTTAGCTCTCAATCAAAGCTTTCAGAAAAAGAGATTACATGAAAGAGGAGCTACTGCATCCACCACAAAGCTGCTTATTTATGACTCATGTCTCAGTGGAAGAGTTTTCAGCGTAAAAGCTTTTTGAATGGTGCTTCAAAACCAATGACACACAGCCCTAGGTAGTTTATACAGCTGTTTTCATACCTGCTGTTAGAAGGCCCACAGCTACTCAGGTTTTGCAGCCCAGAGGACATGCACAGGTTGGTGTGTCACGAGGAGGAGAGGGCAAGGTTTGTACTTTGTGGGTTTTGGTTTTTTTTTGGGTTGGGTTTTTTTAACCTTACTTATGCCTTTGAAGAGATAACAACTAAATGTGAATCTACCTCTTCCACTGGTACATTAATATGATGCTTTTAAGGAGAAATGAGAATTGAGGGGAAATAAAATGCCTGACAAAATGATGCCGGGCTGAGGCAGTTGCCTGGACCCAGAGAAGCGGTGCTGCCAGTGTCAGCCTAAACTCCCTCCTTGGCAGAGGTGGAAGTTTTGCTCAGAATAAACATCCAAATAAGTGTCATTAAAGCCATGTCTTAAAAGAGGGCTTTTGTGTATTTCATCAAATACTCAAGTGCTAGTATCACCTTGAGTGCTCTGTGCAGTTTTGGAAGCCACAATACAAGAAAAATTTAAACCTAATAAAGAGCAGCCAAAGGAGGCTACAGAGATGGTGAAGGGCCTTGAGGGGAAGCTGTGTGAGGAGTGGCTGAGGTCACTTGGTCTGTTCAGCCTGGAGGAGACTGAGGGGAGACCTCACTGCAGTTACAACATCCTTGTGAGGGGATGAAGAGGGGCAGGCACTGATCTCTGCTCTGTGGTGACAGTGACAGGACTCGAGGGAATGGCCTGAAGTTGTGTCAGGAGAGGTTGAGGTTGGATATTAGAGAAAGGTTTTTCACCCAGAGGGTGGTTGGACACTGGAACGGGCTCCCCAGGAAAGCAGTCACAGCACCAAACCTGCCAGACTTCAAGGAGCATTTGGAAAATGCTCTCAGGCACACAGGAGTGATTTTTGGGGCTGTCCTGTGCAGGGCCAGGAGTTGGACTTCAGTGATCCTTGTGAGTCCCTTCCAACTCAGGCTGTTCTATGATTCCTCAGCTGTACTTGGTCATCTTCCTTTGTAATCCTCCCCTGTCACACATACAGTGTTTGTAGGCCCTGGGCTTTACCCTTTCCTGCTTTGTGCAGTGTTACAGCCCTGACCTCTGTGTGTGTGAGTCAGCCTGCACTTATTTACAGATATTTAGAGGCAGACATCAAGCTCTGTATTCCTTCCCTGTGCTTAAACAGAAAAGGTTGGAATGCTGTCTGGCTATGAAAAATATTCCAGTGTTGCAAGAGAGCCCTAAAGTACTTTTGATGTTTTTGCTGCCTCTGAGTTATGCCTCTCATTAGTGTTAAATGTATCATTTCATACACCATCACAGCTGAGTTCCACTTGGGTAACGTGCATCTGAATTTGCTGTATATCTGTATGATGTATTTATTGTTATGCATATTAAGGGGTATTAACTAACTGTGCTTGCATATGTTTCAGCCTTTAGCTGGCTTTCAAATTTGTGATTTCGCTTTCATCTTAGTTTTATAGTAGATGATTCTAACCTAGTCATTAAATTTAATGAGTAATCACATTGGCTAGCTGCTGTTTCTACATGGTAAACTTGTGCATACAGTCATCAGAAAGATTATGCAAAACATGAGAAATGAATGCACACATGCAAAACTGCATAATGTCTTGAAATAGTCAAGAATCATTTAATCAGGAAAAATTTCAGCTATCATCAGTTCACGTGTACTGTCCATTTTTAATTTTTTTTTATTGCTTTCTCCATGAAAATTCTCTTGGAAAGGTGTGATGCTACTTCAAATGTCGTTCCCCAGTGCCACAAAATGCTGGGGCTGCTCCACAGGAATAGAGGTCCTGCAGAGCAAGCAATGTCAGGACTGTTTTGAGAGAGAGGTGAGTGTGGGAAGGGAGGGGATGGAGAGCAAGGGACAGGGACGTGGCTGCAGCTGGTGCTGCAGGCATTAGTAGCACTGTGTTTTCTCAGAGACATGGAATCTTTGCTACTGATTTTAGCTGTTTTTTGTAAACCAGTTTTGCTGCTGCCTCCTTACTAGGGGGCTGGTGCACCCCTGCCACTTGGCAATGAGAAACAGCCCCTGACCCCTGCTGCATAAACATTTCTCACCCTCCTGCCCCATGTTGAGGAAAGCAAGCTCTCCTATCATCCTTTTCCCACATATTTCCCCACTGCTTTCTTATTTCCTACCCCTCCCCCCCTCCACATTTTCCTCCTTTCTCTTGCGAGAAACTATTTTATTGTGCCTTTATTCTTCTATTTAATTGTGCCTTTATTCCACTGTCAGTATTGCACTCAGCTCCTGTACCCTAGCACGTGGACAAACTGTCTCGGTGTGGATATGAGTGGACTTCCTCCTACCAGTCAAATATTTTCCATCAGTTTGGAGAAAAACACCTTACAATTTCAAATGGAAGCATCCCAGTTAAAAAAGTGGGAGAAGTTGGAAGGTGAAACCTACTTTGTTCTTTTCAGAATTTAGAGTGCTGTGGAAAGTTTTTAGAAATTAAAATTCCATTTTTGGCCCTTTCTGACAGTAAACAGCTTTGATCTTAATATCTGTGCATTGAACAACTCTGCAGGCTTAGAGCAAAGTGGATATTTCTAAAATCCTTCTGAGGAATAACAAAAGGATAAGTGATCCCTATACATCCGAATCAGAAAGCTACTGAATAGCGAATGTTATGAAGATTATCTATTTATGCATTCTCCAGAGCCTGAGCCTTCACACTGTGCTACGTTATCTTGTGAGCCAATTTGGGCAACAGGACCCCAAAGCAGAGCTACTTTCTCACCTGAACTGCCACTGAGATGATATTCTAATAAAAAAAAAGGCACAAGCCCAAGAGACTCTATGGTAAGAATATAAAACCTTATCATTTTTTTTGTGGTTGTTTGTTAATAATTTGACAGAAAAAAGCTTTTATACCAATAAACCCAACTTCATTCTAAATCCTTTCACCTCTCATTCTACTAAATATACTTCCTGTGCTGTAATGGAGAGTGCCTGCTCTAGAAGTGATGCAGCTCCGTGACAGTCCCCTGGCTGCCTTCACTGGGCTTCCTGTGTAAGATTCCGAGTAAACTAACAAATAACGGATCAATGTTTCCATTTCAGAAACAACAATTATATCGTAACGCTGTTACTGTTATTTGTGAGTCACATCCTGGGTTTCAACATTTAGTTAATATTTTCTGCTTGAAAACTCGGGTTATGGCTCTGCTGGAGCTGCGTTTACGTCGTGTTTGTGCTGGGGAACTTCAGAGCTTGCAGGCTGGGCCTCTGCAGGCCACAACGTGATGGCCCCGCACTGCTGCAGCTCGGGGGCTGCTGGGGCCATCTCCAGCATCTCTGGCTATGAGATATTTCAGGTTTAGGGGGAACTCAGTGTGAGGCTTCTGTGTTCATTCCTGGTTCTTAAAATGACCTTCAGACGCTGGGCAGCCTTGTTATCCCAACCCTGGAAACTCAGAAAGGTTCTGATAATTAACCATTGCATCCTTACAGCCTATCCAGTTTAGAGAACTTCTGGGACTAGAGAAGAATTAATTTGGTTTTCTTCTGGCAGTTTATTGGGTGGACTGAATTTTAATTTTCATCTGCATTTTAATCACTGTGCAAGCTGGAGTTCTTTTATGCTTCAGCAAGATTTAACTACAATGCCTTTTTGATGTTAAAAAAAAAATTTCTTAGATCATACCAGGGAGCAGAGAAGGCACTTAGATCCCAGTCCCACTGCTGAATTCTTAACAAATCTTGTCTCTTACTGAAGTTGGGTGTGTTTTGATGGAGATCACTTCTTCTACCCTTGAGAAACTGGAAACAAAGTCAAGGTCTGCCAAAGCTCCCTGGACAACCCAGACAAAACCTGTCCCTGGTAGCAATGCCAGCTTTGGCTCCATCCTCCCTCATTAGAACTGAGCCTTCATTCACACAGCTGAGAAAGGAACAAGCCCAATTTTGGCCAGAGCAGTATGGCTGAATATCTGTGTGCTTGCAGCTTTCCTCCCTGAAATTATCTTCAATGTTCTTATTGAAAACAAAATGTGTAAATAGCTTTAGAGCAATCTACTCCCTTGCAATAATCTTGGCAGTGCTTTTCACTGAACTAACAATGAGCCTCTGATAATTTATGTGCCTACCAAAGGAACACAAATAAGACACGTTTCTCAGTAAATATAATAGACAGGACATTTAATATGCTGTCTTTGTCATTTTCAGGTTTTTTTGGTGCATGTACAATAGAAGATGCTCATTCACAGAAAAATGAGTGTGCTTGCAATAGAAAATCCATCATGGCTTTTAAAGCTTCTCTTTTTAGTCATTAGCATGTGAAGCTTCATTTTAAAATTAACAAAGCTGTTCCCCAGGGGAAGAATCTTAAGCAGATAACTGTCCTTATTTTTTGAATCAGATGGTAGTTTTTTGTATCAGATGGTGGCTGTTGATGTTAGCCATAATGACTGAAAATAAAATCTTCATTACGTTTTATGAAGTTTTCCAAGAGATGTGCCAGCCATGGTGAATTAATACTGCCCTATCTTGGGTTAGAAAGAAGAAGGGAAAGAGAGAGAGGCAAAGAAACTCCACACCTGCACACAGAACAGTTTATGCCTCCATGGTCGTAGCTTGTCACTTAAATCTCTGTTGTATATCCGTGTTATTCTGGACAGAACGTTGCCTCAGTATTTGTGGGTTTGTGTTTGCCGTGTGCTGACTTACTCCATTTGCATGCACCACACCCACACACCCACAGGCTGTGTCTGCAGTGGGGAAACCATCTCCAGGATGGCTCTTCTGGTGAGAGGGGCTTGAAGCAAATTTTCAAGATACACTGCCCACTCTGCTTTAGGTGAGGTGGCCCCTCACGATCACAGAAGGATGCATCCAAGTTCTCTTTTGTCACTTTCTACAGGTAAAATCCAGACATGGTATTACAATTTCAACCTTTTTGTGATTGCACAGGTTTTTAATTTAGAATGTGAAAAATATTGATCCTTGTTTTCTTTTGGGTTTTCTTCTTTGGTTTGCATAGTTTTTTGTAAGTTTGTTTGTTTTTATAATAGCGTATGATGACTCTGAGGTTTTATGTTTTTATGGCTAGTAGGATTTACCTGCAGAGTCTGAAGTTTATTTTATAGGAGGACTAATGTGTGAGTTTCGATGTGAAATTTCTTTTTCTTCTGAAGAGTGCTCTTTTTGTTTGTTTTTTAGGCGCTGCTAATATGAGACTTCAGTCGAGGGAAAACAGAGAGCATAATTTTTGCTTGAAGGCAAGAATATATAATGGCATTTTCCCCCTTTAATCTGAAACTTGGAGAGAAAAACAACAACATTTTGAAAAAGAGAATGGACAAAGAGGAGTGAGAATAACTGGTTGCGGTGAGATGCTTTCATGACAAGGATAAATAGTAAGGTACGTGGGTAAGGCCTTAAGAAGGGTTAAAGAATAAACCTGATGGGTCCTTGCCTGAGAAGTGTAGAAGACTCAAGTTTATTTTCTCCTTTGGGATGTTGCCAACACCAAACCTTGGCAAGATGCTTTGACTAATTCTGGAAAAATCTGGTTTCATTTGGCTTCTTGAATACATCATTGCACTTTTAGAAGCAACATTCTGCTGCAGACTAATCCTGACTCTGTAAAACCACAACCATTTTTATTTTTTACCCATATCACCCTAAAGCACACCACCCAGAAGTGTTGGGGTTTTTTTAGACAGCCTTGAACAGCTCAGCCCCTAACTAACTTTACCTGGCCCACTTGAGCAGCAGAAAGTAGCTTCTCTTCACCAAAGTTATCGGAGCTGCTTTCACAGCTTGCTTAGACATAACCAGAGTTAATAAAGAACAGCAGATTAAAAAAGAGAAGCTGTTTTGGAGAAGGCCTGGGGACATACGTCATGTCTCTAGATGGGACCCATCACCAGTTCTGGTTCCACTATATACAGCAAGGTGCTGGAAATTTTGTGTTCCAGTAGTTTCTGAGTCCTGGTCTAACTCTTGTCTTATGTTTCCCATTAATAAGTAGGGTCACTTGCCTACTTGATGGGGTCCTACAAGGCTAAGCCCAAAATGTGAAGCAGACAGACACTGTCTCTTGTAAGAGAGGCTGGGGTGGAGTATCAGGCTCCTCTCTCATGGCTGATAGTATTGTGAGCACTGCTGGAGCTACAAATCCATAGAACCCAGAGCTCATCAGCCCTGCTGCACAGTGATATGGCCAGACCAGCAGCTTCTCTGTTCACACTTCTCCTCCCAGTGCCGTTGCCCAGTGCTTGCCAGGACATGTAGAAAGATTACTTTTGTTTAGAGCCTGGATGGTCTGCAGGCAGAATGAAATTACAGTAATGGCAGTGGGTGAGTTTTGGACACTGAAATAAGAGAATGACCAATCCAGATAGACAAGACTTGATTTTATTAATAAAATTTGTATTTTCCTCTTTGAGGTGACAGTTACAAACTTTGGTTCAAAAATAAAAGAAAATATGAACAGCAAGAAGTTGACTTTTGAAATCTCACTTTTACATGTATAAACGTGCATAAGAAAATACCAGTTGGAAACGAGCCAGCAGAAACTAGTACTATTTAATTTAACAATTTATAAGAAATAGAAACAAACATTTCTTTTCAAGTCTTACATATATTATGAAAAATAATTACAAAAGGATTTGTGTTGTAAAGCTAAAATGTAATTTCTACTTCCAACTACCTGAATAAAATGTTCAGAGGGAAGGCCAAACCAACCTGTGTTTTTGGTGAGCTTTGAATAGCGAGTTGCAAGGGCTCGGGTCAGAGACAGCTCTGTAGGAAGCAGTCCCTCCTTTGTTGCTTAGCAACTGTGTAGAATCACATGACCTAGACATATTGCATCCCTGGCCTTCAGGTGGAATAACAAGAAGAAGAATCATTCATATTAATGGGACGGGCAAATATCGTATAGGACCATTCTGTGGAAATTTTAGTATCCAGTTCAGGAAGCAAATATCCATTGCTTACATAAACATCTACGTAAACACTGCAAAACTCCATAAATAACTGTTTAGAATTCAGTTTTTATATTTATGCAGACCAAATAAGCACAATGGAAACAAATCTAGATGAGATTTAAAAAAAAAAAAGAAAGGAAACCTATATGACTAATTTATTTCACACAGATTTTTTTTAACAATTCTCTTACACAGAAGTTTGGTTTTTTCTTACATATTTTCCCCACCCAAAAATATAAACTTGTTTATTTTAGGTATATACAGTTATCTTATGAAATTATGGAATTAGAAAAGAAAATAAAAAGTCTGAGGTATAGCACCATGGAACACAGCACCTTTGAAGGTGCTTTCATTATTAAAATTCATTGTCACAGAGTGATATCAGCAGAAAAGAGTTGTTTGAGTGTGCTGCTCAAGATCTTCCAGTTTTGCCACCTTAAGTTTACTGGCAACTTCAAATAACAAAGCTCTTCAACAACAATATATACAAAGGGATTTTATTATTAATCAGAAATGGAATTGGCTTCACCAGCAATTACAGTTTTATTTTTTTCAGAATACATACACAGTATTGACCATGTAGTTTTGTAAATAAAATAACAGCCAGATGCAATTCAGAGACACATGCAAGTTTTGGAAATGGACAGAGAAATAACAGTATAGTACTGTACATAGAATAATTACAGTTTATTAAACACTTTCTTAACACCTCTTTGTTGTAATGGAAGGAGCACCATGTCGTTCATTTTTTACAGCACCAAAGGAATCCAAAGGGGGTGTTCCTGAAGTGAGCCCTATGTTGTCTGTCTGTGCCACAGCATCTTTGCAAAATAAGTTTAAGTCATGTGATTCTGGCCCTACAAGGGCAATGATTACTTTCTAGATAAGACATACACACACAGCAAGACATATTTTCTATGCCATCCTTATTCAAAACTTGCATGTGGCATGAAGTGGGTTGGTAGCACCAAAGTGCAACATTTTTGTTGATCTGATTTTGTCTTAAGCTTAACCAAGGAAGCAAACAGGACCGACCTCAAATCCAAACTTCTGGTTCTGATCACCAAAGTCATTGATCATCACATCAACTATGGGCACTTGGTCTATTTTGGGCGTGTTGATTTCAAGCACCGTCTTTGCATAGCCCTTTCTTGACTGTTGAAAGAGAAGCGAAAGAAAGCCAATGGTTAGAGATCAATCAGAGCAGTAAGCTTGTGCTGGAGATCTTCATAGGTGATCTCTGAAGTGGAGAATTTGTTAAGTTATTGCCCCGTCAGGCAGCAGATATTGCAAACTCTAAAGTTTATTATGTTTATAAATTGTCTTATGATTTTATTTTAAAAATATTTTGATTTTAGAAGGAGAATAGCTCATAGTTTTTTCACTTGCTAAAACAGACCTATAAATGAAAAATAATCTAAGACATTTCATCTCTTAGAGAATTCTCAGTTCACGTCTATACTATTTAATAACTAATAATATTCCCATAGCAGTGCACATCTTCCTTGTGAAAAAATCATTAATTAGTTCTGAAAGAGAGAGACTGTAACTGTCTCACAAAATATTACAGCAGCTGTTTGGACAGGAAAGAAAGGAGTAGTCTGACAGGACTGCCAGATGATGGACTTAGAAGGCAGCTTTGAAGGCACACCCTTGCTGCCCAAAGAAAGCTCTCTGGCTCCTCTGTATGTCACACAGCCAAGTCATCGTGTTCGTTATCAGAACTGCACTTCATTTACATGGTCTCATATCTGCTGAGACCCTTCAGCTGTGCCAGAGTCTTGGAGTTCAGATGAGCATCCAAGCTGACAGATCTGAGGGTTCTCAGTTTACAGTTACAACGTTCAGCTCTCTCAGGAGCTCTGCATTCACCACTGTGGATAACAAAAGTGAAATAAAAATACAAGGAGTATAGAAAGGCTGACATGAAGCAGCTGTGTAGTAGACTCTCACTGCTGAGCAGAGACTCTGCCCCTCCTGAGCTGCATCTCTGTCTCAGAGACAGGTGTATATCCTGGCACTTTCAGGTCTCTAATCTGTATCACTGACTTCTCAGAAACTGCCTTCAAAATGCTCCCATATCAAACCCCAAAATAATTAATGAGGCTTCAACTGTCACTTGCTCTTTTGATGTCTTTGTTTCAAAGTGTTGAGTACAAACCATTCTGTTTCTGCAAAGTGGTAACAGTTGTTATGCCCCCAGAGACCCTGATGGAGAGGTGATCAGAGCGCTGATGCAGGTTTGGACACCTCTGGGGATTTTAGCAAAGTTAAAGGAGGATTCTGAAAAGTAAAATCCACAAACTTCACCTGGCTCTGACTACACGAAATGAGGAACGAAAATACAAAGTTACGTATCAAACTATTAATGTACTACGTTTGGGTACATACATATGGCTTATGTAATACATGTTTTTGCTGTATTCACTAAATATTCTGTTTGCATATGCCTTGATGGCCATTCCAGGTTTGTTCCATTTCTGTTGCTTGGCTTATGGTTATTTCTTTTTTGGGACGTACGTGAATATTAAATATGGGATTAGTGTACCCTAGTTATGCATATGAAAAGTAAAGTGTTTAGAAAGCTTTTCTCAGAAGAAAGCGATGAAAAGTGGATTTGTTTGATTTCTACTCTAAATGACAGGTTGGTTTTGCAAAGACTCTTTGAAGGTGTACTCACTGCACAGCCGTCGTGGAGAGCTTTGATGTAGGGATTGTTGTCGTAAGACATTTCCTCATCGTTGGACCCCAGGAACCTCAGAGCTTTGTCATAGCTGTCAGACGGGGCGTCATGCCAAGCTACAGACTGGTGACAGTTGTAAGTGAAATTTTGTCTGGCAGAGGCACTCAGTAGTTTAAGGAATGTCATTTGGACCATATTAATGGAATTGCCTTCAACATCCAAATAGGAGAGCTGGAAAATACAAGAAGTTAGATGAATATTTATCTTTTTTTTTGTTGCAATGCCAACTAAAATTATTGTGAACCAAAAAGAACCACGTAGCTGTTCTTAACAAAAAAATCAACCAATATGTTACATTTTATGGAGTTTTAAAGGTCAATACAGCTGTGACTCAGTATATAGATTTTCATGATGCAGCAATATATTTAGGACGAAGAACTACATATTTTAGCTTCATTCCATTGGGAAAGACAGAGAATTACTCCTCCCTTATAGTGTAAAACAGCAGAATCTCTTTGGGAATCTGTTTTTAGTTAATCATAAAGTCACATCAGCCTGCAGCCTCATCTTTTCATACTCAGTACATTTCCAGGTACCTACACTGGGGGTCTGTGCTCCAGCTGCATTATGAGGGGTCAGTGGTGATGTGGGGTCTGCCAGAAGGCACATCCTCACCATCAGCTGTGCAGGTGACCCCTGGGATCACTGGGGGACAACACAGAGCAGGCTTCTGCTGGCCAGTGGTAAGAGACCACATAACTGCTATAATATTTAGGGCAAAGAGGCTGGGGGTCTTTTCATTATGTAAATATTTATACAATTCCTTGGGATCTGCTGATTGCTGATGATGGGCCCCTGATTTGTGAATACAGTTATGCTGCAGTGACAACTTACAAGTTTGCCTCGCTTAAATTCACTAAACCAAGATCCTGGATTCTCCTTTGGCCATGATGAAATTCTAACCTGTGTGGTCAAACAGCAGAGACAGAATTATTTAAAACACATGTTAACAGATATGAAGGTTTCACATTACTTGAGACAAATTTCACACCAGATAATAAAAAATGGTTTTTTTTTCTGAAATCTCAGTCACTCTAAAGCTCTAAAATAGGATGTTTTTCTTGTATAGAATGCCTTCAAATTAGTGACTTTGCATGGAACTCAAGGTGACAGCTTGTAAAGAGAGTTAGTTCTAATTAAGGGAGACCATTATAATCTGTTAAGATTCAGGTAAACTGGTGGTATGAATTGTTGTTGTGAAGAGTGTCTAAATTTGAGTTTTGACTGCTGTTGCTGCTGATAGATCTCTCTCATTTAGGCAAGCTTTTAGAAAGCCTTCCTCTGAACCCTGTGCCCCCTCTGATGTGATCTGTAACAGTGAGTCAGGACACTGTTAATACATAGTGTTTTACATCTACTTTTCATAGCTATGAGTAAACAGATATAAATGAATCCCCAAGAGAAACACAGTAAGAATTTAGCTTTTAGGTGACAAATCATAGAATCATAGAATTAACTGGGTTGGAAGAGAGCTCCGAGATCATCAAGTCCAATGCCAGGTTATGTTCTGTAACTGGCTGCTCAGCTGTGTTGCATTCTGAAATGGAGTGCAATGTTAGCAAGCAGGTGCATAGATTCTCTGCCTAAGAGTGAAAATGGTGTTTGTTAACTCTGTGTACCATTTTACCGCTCCATTCAGAGGTATGCAAATGTAAATGTAATTAGAAAGACAGATATATGAAAATGTGACAGTGTAATTATCCTGTTTAGTTTAACATTGCAACAGCACAGTAGGATCTGTCAACAGCCAACTGAAAACACAGATTGGTACTTACTCCTTCAGATTTCTTATCTGGGTAGATGCAAGTTTCCCCACCTGCTGTGAAATTGCAGTATACTTTGAAGGAGTCTCCAGAACAGCCCTGGTTAGGATCAATCCAATATTCCCCTAAAAGAAATGAGGAAATATTTGCCTTATATAGTAGTAATGGTATTTGGATGAACTAGGCTTTACTGCTACCTAAAATGGTCCTCCAAAGTGTGTAGCAAAGTTATTTTATCTGAATGATAAGAAATTAACCCTTTCTTTTCTGCCTTATGATCTGTTGCTGTTGTCCTTTATGAAAGATAACACCAGGATCAAAGTCTATTTTTATCTGTATTCTCTTGTTTTTGTCTAGTTTGACTTCCAACTGTGACTCTGTTGCAGGAGAGTGCTGAGGTTTGGGAGGAACTGCAGACACCTCAGTCTAGAGAAGGAATGACAGCACATGTGGAACATGCATGGCAAGTCTCAAAAATGTGGCCATTTCAGTATTTCAGCTAGAAGGATAATTTGTACCTGTGGTGAGAGCACTCTCAAAACCAGAGCAGAGGCAGCCTTAGGCAGAAATAAGCTAGGGTTTAGGCCAGAGAGCAGAATCTGCAGTCATTTGCATACTTATCTGCATAAAAAGGTGTGTGGGTGGGGCTTGGTGGGGTTGTAGGTGGCACAAGTCCCTAAAGCTTCCACTGAGAGAGATTTACCTCACACAAAGGCCTTTCACAGCTGGGTTATGAAGATGCAGTGCTAGTGAAACTACTCAAGGCTGGGCATGAAAGAGAGTGCAGTCCATCCAAAGTCCATTAAAAGTCACTGCTTTTTAAAATCTACTATTCTAATTAAAATGATGATTTCTGTGTTGTGGGTTCTTATCTCCAGACATTTCACAAGCAGGACAGCGATTGATTTTCTGACACTACAGGTCTAATCCTGTTCCAAACAAATAGTGGAGGTTCCAAAGAGAAATGACAAATCCTCTCACCGGTTCTGTCTTCTGAATATAGAATATAGACAAAGCATTTATGGGATTTAAATATTCTGTTGATTTAGACTGTATTTATTGAAAACAGTCTTTCCTATCTGTAAGTCTTGTCCCTGGAGAATTTTATATTTTAATGAATCCATTTGCTTTTATTTTAACCAAAATAAGATTACTTTTATATGAAGCCTCCAAATAAGAAGCAAATACTGGTAAATGAAGAAGGTGAATGTGTTCTATAAAAACCATTCCCTATTATGGAGGATACTGAATTGTAAAATATGTACTTTTCATATAGCACATCCACTGCTTAACTACTCCTCAAGGCGACCATCTGTTCTTATCTATCTAGAATGAAAGCAATAAAATATTATTAAGCTGTCAAAATCCATTTTTCCTCCCATTTAAAAACAGAAAAATATTGCTTTGAACTGGGAAAAATATCCATAGCAATTGAAAAATATATGAAAGGATGAAAATTCTGTGAAGGCTGGCTTTCATTTAAACCTTTTCAGAGGGGTAAACTCAGAAAAAAAAAAGAAGAAAAGAAGAAAGCATAATAAAATCAAGATAGTTTTTCAGAATACTGTGTCTTGTTCATACTACTTTGCATTTTATCACGCTAGTACTTGGTAGCATTAAGCAGTATCAAAGAAACTTTGCTGACTGATATGGAACAAACAGTGGTGGTGCAGTAGAAGAAATTATTGTTTCTAAAGGTAAAAGAATACTGAAGTTTTTGAGAGTCATAATTGATAATAAACCTCCTATGATACCAATGCTGTTTTATATTATTACACTAAGCTAAAGTACACAGCTGCTAAAATAATTATCGTTCATGTCCCAGCATGCTGACATTTGTGATTTCACTTTCCACTGATCTAAACAGCATCAATCTTTCATCACACTCCTAGCTTGGACTGTCCTGGAAACGCAAGGCCCATCTCTCAAAAAAAACCTTTTTATTTAAAAAGTTTTAACCCTAAAACCAGATCAGGTTATGTGTTTCAAGAATTTTGGCTTTTACCAGAAGAACACCTCTTACATTTTTTTAAAATTTTGTACCTGTAAAAATGGATTCAGTGAGACTGTATTTGTCAAGCTGTATTGCCAATCTCCCAGTAATTAATTATTGTGCCAAAGTATGTCAGCAGGCCACAAGCTCAGCCCTGGCTCCTCTGCCATGCAATATTCACATACCATCTGGGAAGTCTGGGTGACAGAGTTGCAAGTCTTTGCAGGTTCGGGCTGGGTTGTTCTGAGTGCCCATTGGGTACTTCATGTGCTCAATGTCTTGCTTCAGCGAATTCAGTGAACCAAAGATCTCCTCCATGCCATCAGAATAATCCAGGATATTATCACCAGCATCAGATAACATATAATCAGGAGATCTTCTTGTCTTCTTGGGTGACTGGATTGGCAGTGGCTGGATTACCTCACCCGGAGGGCCCTGAGTGGAAAGCAACCGATCTGATTATCTTTTCTGTTTGTTTTTCAGCAGAGGAAGACCACAGAATGTGGCTTGGAAATGCTTTGAATAGGCTTACTTCAAAGTGTTTATTTCTTTATTTCACTTAATTCCTTCAGATTTACACCTATGTGTTTCGATTTACTTGCAAAAAAAAAAAAAAAAAAAAAAGGTATTGTAGAAGCCAAACCCTTGTTGTGCTCTAAACTCTTGTCACTACATTGGTGTTTGGGGAAGAGTTGTTTTGTGTTGCCCTCACAAAAGTGTGTAGAACTGACTTGCAGTTACCTCTGTATCCCTGACAATTCCCTCGAGCACAGACATAGTCTATGACAAGTGAAAACTGTGGATGTTTCCTGTGAAAAAACTTTTAAAAAATTCCCCTTGGGGGTCTATGAAGCAATATTTAATTTCAAGAAATTGAAACACTTCATTCAGATTTGGACTCTTTTCATTTTAGATTATTATGATATGAAAAATAGTGGAAACAGAAGAATATCACCAGGGGAAACTAGTATCATTCTATTTTCCGTGCTTCAATATACTCCTTAAATAATTATTGCATGAGGGTTTTTTGTAGGGGGCATATAGGGGGGTTTTGGGTGTTTTATTTGGGGATGTGTTTGTTTCAAATTTCTAATGGATTTTTCAGTGCAGACATGTATCTCTCTGTCTGGGGATCTGTGAAAAATGATTCCTGAAAAATTAATTTTCAAACAATCATTAATATTTTAGTTCAAAAATGCTGGGTTTTACCCTTGTCAAAAGTCAAGGGGGATTGTGTCGATGTAATTCCAAGATAAGAATTCTTACTTACTGGAGGACCAGGT